TTCCTGGGTCCACAGCTGCTAATAACTTGCGTTAGGATTAGGAGAAAGTCTTTTCACTTCCTACTGGCTGGGCCTTCACAGCTGGAATAGAAAGGATAATTAGGCTGTTATTTGGATAAGACAGGAAAGAAAATTCTGACTCTGCTGGTTTTACGCCACTAATCCAAGCACAAAACATGATATTGGCTCATATGATCCTTCAAACTTTTATTTTATGTGTATGCTGGAAACTTAATTGAAATAGACAGCGATAGTCAAAGGGAAACTGTTAAAGAGGAAACAAAAGTGACCATGGAAGAAAAACAGTGAAAATAATCGGCTGAGAGAGGGTCAGCATTTGTAATCTAAGCTTCTCAGAGAAACCATGAAGAGAAGGCCAAGTCACTATAATTTCAGTTACAATATAGATGTGATTAGATTTATATTTTAATTACATATCCATGAGATGTTAAATCTCATTGGAAAACTCTATAATAGAGTTCAGGAGAGGATAAACTAGGTTACATAATGTCAGCCAGGTCAAACGTGTAAGGGCCATTATCAAAATACATGAGATATAAAGGTGTCCTTTCTCTAACTTAGATAATCAAACCGTAAGAGTCAGGTGCCTTGGAACTCGGGTGGAAAATGAGACTCATTCATATATGCAAAACAGAATGAAAGGAACATTTTCCAAGGGAAAATTAATTAGATGGGTAAACATATGGTTATCTCTTAACTTAAAAGTGAAATTACCATAGACACATCATGTAGACTCAGAGAGTAAAAATTCTAGTTTATCACGTATGTCACTTGGAGTGGTATAGTGATCAATGTGTTTGCTATAGAGTCATGCTAAGTAATTCAATGAATGGAAGAGTGTAAGAAAACATTCTCTTAAAGAATGATGACTCAGAGGTGAAATCCTGAACAACAGCATTTTCTTACCAACAGTTCTAGGTGAATAGCATTTACATGTCTGTGTGTAATAAAATGGAAGAGACAATGAATAAAACATAAGGGGTCTGAAATGAAATAATTTATTTATCAAGGACTTTCTTAATTATCTGAATGATTTTGATTTAAATAGAAATTCCAGTGCTATTCTTGTGACTGTGGATCAAAAATGCCTCCAAAATCTTAACTTTTCATCTCCTGCTCTAATAGGGTATAGAGAAATAGATATTTAATTTCTGTGCTATTTTTAAAATCATACTAGTGGTATTTGTTAATCCTCAATGACTCTCTTAGATTTTCCATAGGAACATCCAAATTTTTCATATTTAGCTTTGGGAACAATTATGTTTCTCGTGTGGGTATTTGACTTCACTGAATTATACTTTTCTGAAATCTCAGGATTGCTTTGTAAAATGTTGCTAGCGATCTAAAAAACCTATTCTACCTGTGGAAAGAATGGTGAAATGTACTGGATAATTTACAGTATCTTTTTAGGAAAAAAAGTAAATATTTTATATATTGTATGATAAATAAAACATGTATTTAGAAGAACAACATAAATACTTGATAGGTTCCTGGGCCTCTGTTACTTTATAATACCTTTGCACAGTTTAAGTTATATATTTAGATACACAATGTATTTCTCGTGTTTCTTCCTATGAATATCTAACCCAGAGTGGTTTATACTTCACAGTGGCTTCTATATTTTACTAGTTATTCTAGGTTAATAGATTTTTCTTGTCGAAAGGCCCGTGCTTTCCGCCCTGTGCACAGTTTTTCCTTGGAAAAATGAACAGGTGAACAGACATGCTCTTGATTTAGAGACAGGGTTGGTGAGATGGCTTATGAGAGCTCAGTGTCTATTATAAATGGGCAGCCCTTAAGAAGGTGATGATTATTGAGTTAGAAAACCTGTCACAGGCAGCTGTTTCCTAATGTGTAAAAATGAGGGGTTATTCTAGAAGTACTAAAAATTTCCAATTTTCAGAATGATTAGCTCAGAGTAGAGCACCTGCTCCTTGAATATAAATGTTTAGAAACGGAAGGGGTCAAAGTTGCTTGTTCACTGTTTAATGTTTATTTTTGTATTAAAATTAATATTGAAGTATAAACCTAAGCACCTTCATACTCCATAACTTTTCCTTGAAGGTGATTTAATGGTACAGCAGTCTCAACAGGATAGAGGTTCAAGTTGTCTGACTCTCATTTGCTATAGATACACAAGACTCAATCTCTCTCTCTCTCTCTCTCTCTCTCTCTGTCTCCGTCTCCGTCTCCGTCTCCGTCTCCGTCTCCGTCTCCGTCTCCGTCTCCGTCTCCCTCTCCCTCTCCCTCTCCCTCTCTCTCCCCTCCCTTCTCCCACACTTACACACACGTGTGGGCTTAATCATTGGCTAGTTGGGTTTGCACTAGAGTCTCTGCCTTTCATCTGATGCTCCGGATGGGTGATTTTATGTCCGCTTGCAAGGGACTAGGGAACCCCTTTAACCAGTATTTATTGGAAACCTATGATATGATGGGTTTCCTGTGCAACAACTTTGCGAGATAGATATTTTTATGCAATCAATCAATGAAAATGGTTAAAGCGCGTACTGGTGTTTAAGTCAAAAAAGACGAAGGACTAGACAGTAGAATGTCAGTCTCACTCCACAAAATCACTTTGACCTCATGTTTCACAAGTGCGTCATATATCCCTTCCTCACAGTGTAGGTGAAGAGTGCTAGAAAGAGGCAAGAAAAAAATGATCCGAGGTTTATGCCTGATTCCAAAATATTTCTAAATATTTTCCCTCAATTTTGAATTGTAAGATCATGTTCTAGAGACATGTCTGGGAGAAAGATGCCTTTAATGACTCCGAATTGCCAGTGGCAACAGAAGTTGAATCACTTATACCAATAGAGCTGCAGACTCTCTATTAAATCTAAAAATCTATGTGCATTTAGGTGGGGATCGAACTGGTCATGTAAATAGGTAGTGAGGAATATCATTTGGGTTAGTTGCTACTGACTGTAAAACAGACTTATTTTCTAATTTTCTCTTCTCTAGTTTTAGAGACATCTGTAAATTCAGTCCTGATTTTGAGTGTTAAATATAGAAATAGAACAAGTAATAAGTTGCAGTTATACTCATAAATGGCTCTTAGACTATGGATGAAAGTGTTGAGTATTTTTCATGGTCCATTTGGGTTTAAAGTTTTTAAACTTATTTTTAGCATGTTAGATAGTTAAATGGTACATCAAGGACCAGCTTAGGGCCATGGGTACGCTTCACTCAACGAATATTTATTGAGAGCTGGTCTTATTCCTGGTAGCAAACAATTGTTTTTATTAAACGATTAATTATGCGTGAGGTTGCCTTTTGATTTGAGATGCTTATTTATTCTTTCTCTAATTTTTAGGAGCTGCTGTGAAATTCTTTTACTAAGGCTTTTTTTTGAAATCTAGGAAATGTTGCTAAATTTTATTAAATGCCTTTTTTTCCTTTGCTAGGATGATTGTGGATCTCCTCAATGATCAAGTAATGGGATAAATAAAATTAGATTTCTCATATTGAACCACATTTGCATCATGAGAATAAATGCTAGCGTTTTTTTTGAAAAGTCTTTATTTTCAAAAGCTTATTTTTTTTAAGAGCAATTTTAGGTTCACAGCAAAATTGAGCAGAAAGTATGGAAAGTTCCCATAAACCTCTGTCTCCAAAACATGCATAGATTCCCCCATTATCAGCATCCCGCACCAAAGTGTGACATTTGTTACAGCTGACGAACCTACACTGACACATCATGATCACTAAAGTCTATTAGGGTTTCCTCCTGCTGTTATACATCCTATGGGTTTGGACAAATGTGTAATGATATGTATTATCATTATGGTACCATGCAGAGTATTTCCACTGCCCTACAAAATCCTCTGTGCTCTTGCCTATTCATCCCTCCCTCCCTCCAACCCCTGGCAGCTGCTGGTCTTTTTACATCTCCACAGTTTTGCCTTTTCCAGAACATCATAGAGTTGGAATCATACAGTGCTAATGGTTCTTTTAATGTCGTTTTTGAGATTCACAATATGTAGCCTTGTTCATTCATTTTAATTGCTGAATGAGTAAGTGACAAAATATTTATCATTCTCCTACTGAAGGGCAATTAGGTAGTTTCTGCTTTCTTGGCGTAAAATTCTAGGTTGGAAATAATTCTGCTTCCAAATTTTGAAGCTGTTGTTCCATTGTCCTCTAGCTCCCATTGCTGCTGTCAACAATATAATAGTTAACACATATAATGTTTATGATGTGCCCAGCATTGTTCTAACCTCTTTATATAAAATAGCTCATTTAATATTTATAAAAGCACTATGAGGCAGATACTGTTATTATTATCCCCATTTTAAACAGGAGGAAAATGAGGCACAGAAAGGCTTTCTTACTCCAAGTTCTGTAGCTGGTAAGTGGAAAGATTGCATATGAACCCAGGTTGTCAACCTTGAAAGTTCCTTCTCAACTGTTAGATTATATGACTTCTCATGACAGTTTAATTCTTGATCCTTTATATATAACTTTTTTTTCAATCTGCGGTCTGTCCACTGCTGAGATTTCCAGATCAGCGCAGGTAGAACCTTCAGTTTTCATGGATCTCTTGCTTTCTTCCTGGGGCATCTCTACTGTCATGGTGAGATGAGGTTTCCTACAGAAACTTACCTGATCCTCACTCATGTGCACCCTGAAAGTGTGAGAGAGTTTGCGGCTCAGGAGACAACCCGTGACAGAGGGGACACAAGCTAATGGATAAATGCTGTGCCTGGCCGCCACCTGAACAATTCTGAGATGCATGTCGTACAGTTCGTTAGGGGCGCCTAGTGGGACTGAGCTCCAGCTTCCCCTAGAATGGACAAACAAACCATGATGTCTCTTTCCACATCCCTCAGTCCTGCTTCTGGGAGTCACTCTTCAAAGAAGCTTCTTTTCATGCAAGCCTTTGCCTCAGGCTTTGCTTGGGGGCGAGTAAGTGGTGGGCAGGTGAAGAGCTGGGATCAGGAATGGCCCTAGAAAGCAGAGCCTCAGAGTAGGGTTCAGGAATGGAATCACTTACCAGCGTGGCGGTGGCAAGGACCCAGTTGCAGTTGGTAGGTGGAGTGGTGAGATCTCTTGACGTTGCAGTTATGAGACTCTCACTGCAGTGGATTGGGGTGAGGTGTAGACAAAGATGAAATACTCAGTTAAGAGAGAGGTAAGGCCTTGGAATAGCATATGCCCCATGTATGATCATGAAAAGGATCACAGACTGGCTGGTTTGGGTTAAAGCTCTATAAACTTTAGGAAATCTCAGGCTTTAGTTCTGCTAACTATCAACTCAAAACAGGCTTCTATAGTAGCATTTAAGAAAGGTGTCATCCCTGACAGCTTCAGGACATTCTGGCCCAGAATTGAATTTTATGGGTGGTGGCAGAACTACAAAGAGGATGAAATCTACAGCCTTTGATAGGTCCCCTCTGCAAACGCCAAGGCTATGAGAGGAAAGGCATAGGACTTTAGACCTATCTTGGGGACATTTGGATGAATAAGCCTGAGAATCTTGAACCTCCAGGTTTCTCTAAGCCATCTGGGCTGGGCCGGCAGAAGCAGTCTCCCTTCCCCACCCCCACCCCGCAAAATAAGCTTTACTTTGCTTAGATACCAGCAAAGACCTCAATGGAAGCAGATGCCTCTTATTATGTTTTTCTTCCTTAAGATCTGCCCCTACCTCCCTCATTGCCTCCAGACTCATAACAAGGACCAGGTCACAGCACAGCTTAAACAAGAAACTACAGTCTGTACTCAGGAAGCAAACATACACATCAAACGGATTCTAGCACCTACTGGGAGAAGCCAAGGAACATTTGGGGGTGGCCCTTGAAGATGCGGGAGCAGACAAGGCAGAATGTACAACTGCAGAGGGGAGATTTTATTAATAAGGGAGCACTCTCTTCTGGACTGAAGTCTGATGTGGGTCATGGTACCACTGGAGGACACCTGCTAGTCATCCTTGTGCAACCTGAAAATGCACCACGTGATAGGAGCTGATGGAGAAATGCCAGTTTTCCTTCAGGCAGATAATTCTGAGGCGTAATCTGTGAGGTTCATCAGAGCGTCCTTGCATGAGGAAGCCCAATATCCACAGGAGGGCCCAGTTTAATGATGCACTTTTATACTAGCTCTCTCTCCTCTGCTTTACTTTTCCCAGTTTCTCACTCTTACTCCCAGGGATTTATTTTGAAAATAAACTACCTGCACAATAGCCCCTGTCTCCCCTGTGCTTTTAGAGATTGAGCAGGACAACCTGGGCTAAGATAGCCAATTATTTGGATAACTGAGTCCCTGGATTGATCTTCCAATTTCCTTACCTTTATAATGCCATCGTTTAGTGTATTTCATAGTCATTGGGTTTATGCTGCTACGATTTCCCAGCATCTTAAGGCAGATACTCAAGTCATTGGTTTTTAATTTGTTTATTTTTAGTATCTACATTTATATTTTTCTACTTTCATTATAGTCCACGATTTGGCATGTTGTCTTTTCATTATTGGTTTTGTCAAAATATTTTCTAAAATTAAAGAAGATAACCTCTTTGACCTACAAATTATTTGGAAGTGTGTTTAAGTATAGAGATGGTTTTATTAATCTTTTTGTTACTGGTTTCTAATTTCCTGCTTTGTGATCAGAAAGACAATCTCTATAATATCCGTTTTGCAGGATTTGTTGGGACTTGTTTTGTGAAGTAGAATGTGGCCAGTTTTAAGTGGTATTCCAGGTCACCTTGAGAAAAACGTGTTCTTTTGAATTGCATTATTCAATTTATGTTAAAAGAAATTTTTTTGTCTCCTTGAGAGAAAGGTGTGTTGAATCTCTCAAGTTTGTTTTGTATAATTTGAGAGAATGTTGTTGGTTGTTCAATATGGATTTGGAATTTTTATCTCTACCTAGGGAGTTGTACCTTTTATTATTATGAAGTGACAATATTTATTTATAATGATACTTTTCACCTCCATGTCTGTTTTTTCTGATATTATTTTAGCTTTTTTTTTGGTTTGTATTTCTTTGTATGTCATTTTACAGAGTGTTATTTTCAGCTCCTATGTGTCATTTTGTTTATTTTTATCTAGCCTGTGAGTTTCTGTCTTTTAACTGGTATCTCTATGATAACTATTATCTTTACATTTATTTATACCATCTTATTTTATGCTTTGTTTTTGATTTCTGTTTACTTTTCCCTCCCCTCCTTTTCTGTCTTCTACTGAATGGTTGATTTTTAAAAATCTCTTTTCTCCTCCACTGGCTTAAGAGTTATCATGTTTTTAATTTACAGTAGATGTCTTTTTTTCCCCCAGCTTCATTGAGGTATAATTGAAAAATTAAAGTATAATATATTTAAAGTGTACACTGTGATGATTTGATATACATGTACATTATAAAAGGATTCCTACCATCGAGTCAATTAACACACCTATAACCTCACATATGATAGTGCATGTCTTAATATTTTAAAGTGCATATTTTACTTAATAATGTATAAAGGTAATTACTATTTCTACTGACCTCCTGAATAAGAAGTGGAACTTCCTATGCTCCCTTATAGCTCCTATTGTCTTTCATGTTATTGTTTATTATTTTAGTTCAGTTTTGTTTTGCAGTTTCCTTCACAGATTATTCATCATTGTTTTGTTTCACATAATCAATGTTGTTGGCCATTTTCCCTCTTCACCTTTATTCCTGCATCTCTTTCTTTTCTTCTGGAGTCAATTTCTTTTCTCCTAGAGTGTACAATTTAGTTTTCTTTCCAACAAGGGTCTGTGGCTAGTAAATTTTTCAGTCTTTTAAAACACTTTTTATTTTACCCTCACCTTTGGATAATAGTTGAGCTAGATATAAAATTTAAGAATGCCAGTATATCCCCTGGCACTTTGAAGATTCAGTTAACTTTAGGCATCTAGTTCTGCTGATGAGAACTATGCTGTAATCAAATTACTGTTTCTTTGTAAGTTTTTTTCCCCTTAGATTACTTCAAAGACTTTCTTTTTGTCTTTGGAGTTCTGAAGTTTTATTATAGCGTACCTAGATTTGAATGTATTTTTATTCATCCAGAGCAGGAGTTGCTGTCATTTTTAAATAGAAGTTTCAAATCATTAATTAATTCTGGAAAGTTTGAAGACATTAGCTCTTCAAATATTACCTCTTCCTCATTCTCTCTGGTCTCTCCTTCTGAAATTCCTGTTAGACAAATATTGGACTGTGGTAGATTAAGATAGCCACAAATTATTTGTTATTTCTCTTAGAGGTGGAGTATGATATTTCAATTTATAATAAATATATATTTGGTCATCAATCCATTTCTGCCACAGAGTTCCTAAAACCCTTGAAATTTCCTGAGTGATAAGAGCAATAAATGTATCTTGTTATTCATAAAAAATCCCTTTCAACTACTCCTGAATTTAAGAGACTTTTGCAATTCACATAAGGATGGGGCTGGTTGCCAGGGGAACCAACCATGTGATTTGAGGGCTGGTACTTTTAGTCTCACCTCCACCCCCCACCCCAACCTTGAGGGAAAGGAAAAGGACTAGAGGTTGACTCAGTCACCAATGGCAAGTGATTTAATCAATCCTGTCTATGTAAGGAAGCTTCCATAAAAATCTCAAAAGGTGGGGTTTGGAGAGCTTCCAGCTTAGTGAACACATGGAGATTTGAGGAACAGTGGCACATTCAAAGAGCTTGGAAGCTCTATGCCCCTTCTCATATACCTTGATCTAGATATCTCTTCCATCTGGCTGTTCCTGAGTTATATCATTTTGTAATAAACTGGTAATCTAATGACTAAAACATTTCTCTGAGTTCTGTTTCCTGTTGTAGCAAGTTAATAAACCCCAAGAGTGGGGTATTGGAACCTCCAATCTATAGCTAGTTGGCCAGGAGCACAGTTCTACAAGCCCATGACACCCTATGCTTGTGGTTAGTGTCTGAAATGTGTGCGTTGTGGGGGGTGGGGTGGCACAGGCTTGTAGAACTGATGGCTTAACCTGTGGAATCTGATGCTATCTCCAAGTAGATAGTGTCACAATTGAGTTAATTGATTGCTGCTGTGGAAGAAAACATACACACATATTGCAGTTGGTGTTGATGTCAGAGTCCAAATCCTTTCTCCTTGAATATATGATAGACTTAGGAACTTGTATGACTAATAGAATACAGCAGAAGTAATGTTCTGGCACTTTAGAGACTAGATCAGAAGAAACTTGCAGTTTCTGTCCAGGCTTCTTAGAACATTTTCAGTAGGAGCTATGAGTTAGAAGGCTAGCTACCCTGAGATCACTATGCTGGAGAGTTCAAGGGTAGGCACTCCAGTTGACAGTCTTAGTTGACCTCATTCTTTCAATTATTCCCATCAAAGTGCAGCATATGTGAGTGAAACCACACTGAACCCTCCATACCACATTCAACCTGGTGTGAAACATCAGTATCACCCAGCTGAGTACTATTTGAATTCTTGACCCACAAAATATTTAGGTGTAGTAAAATGTTATTGTTTTAAACCACTAGGTGCTGGGGCACTTTGTTATGTAGCCCCTCAACACCTAATGGTTTATATATAAACCACTTTCTACAGGTCTTTTAACCTCTTTCTCATACTTTCCACCTCTTCATCTTTCAATGTATATTTTTCTCAAATTGGTTTTCCATGTCATTGATTTTCTCTTTAGTCATATATAATCTTGTGACTTAACTGCATCCACTGATTACTTTTATACCAATGGCTATACTTTATTTCTCATACTTCTATCGGTTCTTCAGAAAAAAATCTGCTTTTATCATAGCTCTTTCCCAGTGTGTTATTTCAACCTTTCATGTTCTTAATGATTTTAAACTTATTTTATGTTCTCTTCCTGATTATTGCTTGATAATCTTACTGAGGAATAGTCATGGTGAATTCCTTAAGTATTTTGCAGTATTTTGTTTTATGCTCATTTTTAGTGAATTCCTTTTCTTTGAGAATTTTCTGAAACTAGAATAGTTAGCACTTTTGTGCCATGCACCTCAGGGAATGCTTAGCCAGGGACCAAGGTTTATATTAATTTCAAAACCACCTAGGTGC